AAGGTGGGGTGGATGGTTTTTGGTCATTCAGTGGATTATGGATGTTTGTCATTGTTTAGATATATAGGTGATCTTCAAACACTTCAAAGAATATGACATTTTAAAATGTTTTAATAACACAAGCCTTTTTTTTTTTTCTTGACAATGAGACACTTCTGCTCCTGGATCATGGAGAAAGAAAGGCCCCTGGAAGATGAGTGGACCAGAAGGTTGTGTGGTCTTTTTGAGGTGGGTAGCAAATGGTGGAGGTGTATTTCAAGGGCATTTAAGATTACCCCAGGTTTTTATCTTTAATATCTGTCCCCAAGTTTTATTTTATAATAAACAGTAAAAGAAATCATTTTAAAACCCTGAAGAGAGGCAAGGGGACGCTTCAATCTGAAGGGCTGGCATCTCTTAAGAGAGAAGGAAAAGATGGCACCTGTGTCAATAGAGAGAAGACGCCAGCGTTTCTTTCTTTGAAAGTATGGCTGGTGCAGTTGCACAGTATAGCAGTTATTTTTCCTGCTGAGGTGACAAGAAACCTGACAACGGAACTGCATAAAGGAAGGGTTTGCTTTTGGCTCACAGTTTCAGGAAACAGTCCAGCACAGCAGGAAGGCGTGGCAAAGGGAGGGCACGTGACCACAATCAGGAAGCAGAGGTTGATGAATGCTTGTGCCACCTCATTCAAATAAAGCTTTCTGGAAACACCCTCATAGACACACCTAGACGAGTGTTTCCATGGTGAGTCTTCTTTTTTGTATTGGTTTTCAAGACAGGGTTTCACTGCGTAGTCCTGGCTATCCTGAAACTCACTCTGTAGACCAGGCTGGAACTGAATCCAGAGATCCGCCTTCCTCTGCCTCCTGAGTACTGGGGTTAAAGACATGAGCCACTGCCATTGCCCAGATCCATGGTGATTCTTTTTTTTTTTTTTTTTTTTTTTTTTTAGACAGGGTTTCTCTGTGTAGCTTTGTAGACCAACCTGGGGATTAAAGGTAAGTGCCACCACAGCCGGCTCCATGGCTCCAATGAAGATCAACCATCAGACATTGTGTCAATTTTTTCCCCTCATGTGTCATAAAGAGTATCACATATATCACATAGCTCAATTCTGAGAAAATCTTAAAACCAATAAATGGAATTTATTATATGTACATGTATTTCTTTAATTTTTTTTTTACTTACATAACTTTTTAAAGATTTAAATTTTTTGCAAGCACTCAGTAAGCAGAGGCAGGCAGATTTCTGTCAGTTCAAAGTCAGCCTGGTCTACAGAGGGAGTTCCAGGATAGCCAGAGCTATACAGAGAAACCCTGTCTGGAAAAAAATTTTTTGTATGTGTAAATATTTTGCTTGCATATATATCTGTGGACTATAAGCCTGGGTAGTGCCAACAGAGGCCAGAAGAAGACACTGATCACTTGGAACTAGAGTTCAGTTGGTTGTGAGCTGCCATGTAGATGTTGTGAATGGAACCAGAGTCTTCTGGAAGAGCAGCCACAATTCTTAACTGCTGAGTCATCTCACCAACCTCTAAAGACTTTTTTTTTTAATGTGTATGAAAGTTTTGTCTGCATGTATATCCTGTGTATGCCTAGTGCCTGTGGGAGGCTAGATGGAAACTTCTGCTCTCTTGGAACTGGACTTAACTGACAGTTGTAAGCCATCATATGGCTGTTAGGAATCAAACCCAGTTTCTCTACAAGAGCAGCAAGTGCTCTTAACTGCTGAGACATCTTTCCAGTCCCTAATAATAATTTTTTAGAAATAATCAAACACTCTAGAGTGGAATGTTTGGGTTGTATAGCTGACTTTTTATGAACATGCTAGTCTTGTAAAGAAACTTCCCACAATGCCTGCACATGACATTTCTCTTAGCAGTGTGTGAGCACTTTAGTGGCTTCATATCTTTGTCAATGTTTGATGCTGTTGGACTTTGTTGACTGTGTTAGTGGACATTTAGCAGTACCTGTCCACATTTTAATCTGTAATAATGTTGATCATGTTCTCATTGTTTATTTACCATTTGTACATTTTCTTTGATGAGGAATCTATTAAAATTTTATTGTTTGTGTTTTTTTTTAACCAGGCTCTTTGTAGTTGGTTGATGGTATATCTTTTTTTGTTTGTTGTTTGTTTTCTGAGACAGGGCCTCACTATGGAGCCCTGGCTTTTCTGGAACTTACTACATAGAGTAGGTTGGTCTCAAACTCACAGGGATCCTCCTACCTCTGACTCCCAGGTGCTGAGATTAAAGGTGTGAGCTGTTGGTATATGTTTTAACAACAGATTCTCCTCCAAATGTAGTCTGATTTTTTTCTTGTTTGTATGTTTTCTTTTTCTTCAGTGCTAAGGTCCTAACCAGGATACTATGCATATTAGTCAAGTGCTTACCACTGAGCCCAGACCTAAGTGTAACCCTTTAGTGACCACTGATGGCTCCTTTCATTTACATCAATAAGTAAGACATAACTGCAACAACAAAGGCATGGTCAAAATCATTGCCAAAATCAAGCTACAAATGTTTCCCTTGGATACAAGCTGTGCAGTAGTATATACGATATCTTATCACATTCTACTGGTGGGAAACTACATATGTATAGGCAATCACAAATATTCAGACAATGGTAAATGTGATAAAATCAGGAATGAAGTTTTATTTTTAGTATGTTTTCTTTCACTTTGTAGCTCTAGTAATTTAATATTCTAAATAGGTATGTTTAGCCAATTTGCAAAATTCTTGAAAACTTAACAGCTGGCTCTTTCTTTAGCACATCACTGGCTTGTCTTATTACTGAATGGGTAGAGTTCTTTAAGCATATTCTAGTTGGGCACTTACAGGGGACCATGGAATTGGCCTGGCCTAGCTGTCTTGAGAGGCATGTGTCATAGGTTTTTCAGGTTAGAGTCTGTGGCTCCTAGGGCACCATGTGCCTTCAGTTCCTGAGAAGTTGGGGGACTCCTTCAGGCAGTGAGGCATTCAGGAAACTTTGTGTTTCTCTGTATGTTCCCTTAGATGTCAAGGAAATATGGAAGCTTGACAGGACAACTGGTATGAGACATCAATCTTGTTTGTGTACCCTGTTATAGCTTGAAAATGTCATTGTATCCTGGCAACTACCATAGTATTGACCCTGGCAATTGCTATGATATTCTATCTCTGATAAAGGTATAAAAAGTCTGATTGCTCTCAATAAGATTGTCTCAGCCACAGTATTGCTGTGGCCCCTCCAACCCAATCCTGGCTTAATTCCTCCACTGCCATATCTAGTAACCTCGGCCCTTAAGTCAGCATAAGCACTACCCAATATCACTTTCTGCCATAATGAAAATATCTGTCAAACTGCCCAGTTCAATATCTGCTAACTACCCTGGTAGTGAGCTAGTGAGCATTTGAAACATAGTATTACAACAGAGGAGCTGAAGCTGAAATTTTCCTTAATTTAACTAAGTTCAAAGTGAAATAACTGCATAAGGTTAATAGCTACTATATGGAGGCATGGTACTTACTAGGTACAGAATTAACTCTCTCCTACATAGCTGAATAATATTTGGGGCAATACTAAAGAAACAGTCCCACACGGTGACACTCTACATGTTCACAATAGCTAAAAGCAGACTGTATTCAGAATTTCCCAGGCTGAAATTATTTCCATTTTTTTTAAAAGTGCTAATAGTATCTCTACACACTTCATAGAATAATGATAAAGAGTAAACAGAATAATGTATTTAGAATGCTTAGTATTCTTTCCAGCTGTCTCGAAAATGTTCAGTAATTGGAGCTACCTACTAGTTTTGGCCTTCCATTTTGAGTCTGTTAAATATGCAGATCAGTTCTCACAGGAGAAGCTTCTTCAAGTAGATGGCAATTAACCCACAACTGATCAGCATGCAGAGAACTTTGGAAATCTCAGCCCTAAATGGGATGTCTATATCACACTCCTCACCAAAAGCTCAGGGATCTATGTGGAAGAGGAATAGAAAGATTGTTAAGAGCCAGAGGTGGTGAATGGCTTCTAGGAAAGAGCATTTTCCAGACACAGGGGAGATGCAATATGAATCCACTGAGTTTGTGAGGGCATGCACAAGACCTGTAGAGGCATAAGCTATACAAAAACCCAGCATCGAGAAAGGGAAGTGGGCACAAAAGACGCCCCCCTCAACCTCTAGCCAAAAAGCTATTCATAATTGATAGCTTGTGGGAGATGGAAAATCAGGTTTTTTTTCAATGGAGTGACGCTTGGGTAGGGCTCCATGCTTAGTTTGTTTTTATTTTATTTGTTTTTGTTTTTCGAGAGGGTTTCTCTGTGTAGCTTTGGAGCTGTCCTGGAACTTGCTCTGTAGACCAGGCTGGCCTTAAACTCACAGGGATGCATCTGTCTCTGCCTCCCAAGTGCTGGAACTAAACGAGTGTGCCACCGTTGCCCGGCCTGTTTAATTTTTTTTTTTTTTTTTTTTTTTTTTTTTTTTAGAGAGAAATAGAGCATGAAGTTGAGTGTGTATGGAGTTGGGGTAAGGGAATGAATATGATCAAAATACTGTGTATGAAATTCTCAAAGAATAAAATATTTATAAAAACGCTCCTGAGTTACTGTATAACTCACTGATTTGAAAACTGGGTAAAATCTGACTCAACAATCTAATTTTTCCTTCAACCATAACTTCCAAAAGGGGTTCAAATCATGTCACTACACTCGTCTCCTCCCTTCTCACGGCTTTAAAATTGGCCGGGCTGCGGGAGAGACCCGTGATTGACAGCGGGTCCGGCCAGTCGCTGGCACTGGCCAATCAGAGGCGGCCCCGTCTCAGGCCCATCCCAAGTCCCCGTCCAATCGCGTCTGGGTGGCGGCCAGCGCAGGACGGTTGAGAGGCGGTCGGTTCCAAGTGGGCCGCGGCGCGGGGGAGACTGCGGGTTCGCAAGCAGGAACCCCGAAAGCGGTTCGCACGCCACGACTGGACCCCCTCCACCGCGGCTGCAGAGGTCGGCCCTGCCCGGCGGGACCTCCGACACTGACCTTTGCCGGGAGCCCATCCTGGCAGGCGACGTGTGCTGCGGGTCCCTGGCGTCCCCTCCGGCGCGCTCTTGGACCCACTTCCCAGAGCGGAAGTCTGCCTGCTCGGACTCCGGTGGGACCTGCTCGGAGGAATGGCGCCGCCGGGTGAGGCGTTGCGCATGGCTCAACAGAGGGGTCCCGCGGCCGACACGCCTTGGGGAGCGGGGCGTCGCCCGCGGGAGGGTAGTGCGGACCACACGGGCGCCGGCCAGGCGCGGTTCCCCTCCCCGACGGGGCAGGGGCATGGGCTCGGGCGCTTTCGGGGTCGTGGGTGTGACGGAGGGCTGCGAGCTCTGGTGAAGTCGGGCGACCCGAAAGATTGTTGCGGGGAGGAGGGCGTGCAACGCGTGGCTACGGGTCCCCGCGAGGCCCAGCGCGAACCGGGGCGGCGCGGACCCCGGGCCTGGCCTTCATTCATTCGGGTGGTACTGGAGGCCTACATCCTGTCTGAGAGCCACCCTTGGCATCGTGAAAGCCTTTGACCCTGTCACTGGACTTTCTCTGGGCTCTAGGATTTTTCCCTGATAGGGACAGGAGAATCACCTAGCCTAAAGCCGAGGCTATGAAGCGTTACTAGAGGTGCAGACTTGTAAGCGGCCACATACTGGGCGAGACCAGGTGCCAGGGACTTAACCCATCTACACCCCAGTTTCTCATTTGGGATCTGCTTCATAAGATCTGTGTTAAATGGTATTCTGTGCTTGCTTTTAACAGTACAGGGCAAAATTTGATGCGGGGTAGATTTTGAATGGACACGGTAGTGTGGAAGCATAGTGTCATCTTTTTTAAAAATCGATATTTGGGTGTGTATCTTCTATTGCCCCTGACCGATGCGTAGTTGGAATCCCAGAGAAAGGAAGTAACTTGGGGAACACAGCGAACAAAGCTTGCCGATTCACTGTTTGATTTGTTGGCAAAGTGGTTAAAGTCAGAATTTGTATTGAAACTGTCTCAAATTTGAGTCCCAGTTATGTGTATTAGGACAGGGACCAGTAACTTATGAACCTTAATTTTTTTTTTTTTAATTTTAGGGCCTAGGGAGGTGGGTTCAGTTTCCAGCACTGAGAGAAAAGCAATGCACACAGGAGCATTCTCTATAGATTGATGAGTACTGAACATTATAGAGCTCTTTATTTTGGTATGGGGTTGGGGATTTAGAGGTATTATGCATCAAATGAATTCTACACTAAGCCGTTACCTCTACACATACTGGCTTAACACACAAAGACTTAAATGAAACTACTGTTCATCGAAGAGTGATTCTGAGTTATGCATTTTTTCAGCATTGTCAAAAGAGAAAAAAAAAAAAGTAGGGGGCCATCAAGATGACTTCAGGGGTTAAGGTTCTTGTCATTGAGCCTGATTGAGAAGGGGTTGATAAGATGACCTGAGTTCGAGCTTCAGGTAGAACTTCGTGGTAGAAGGAGAGAACTGACTCCCGAGTTTTCCTCTGCTCTCCGTATGTAAACATCCCCAGCCCCAATGTAATTTAATTTTTTAAGTGGAATGTGAGCTCTGTAGTGTTGACTGGGTTTGAGTCCAACCAAGACTGGCCACATGTAAGCTACTGTAGCCCTCAGCTTTCTTCTTTGGAAGGTAATGCCTTTAGCGGATTCTAATTCAAATTAAACTTGAGCTATAGGCAAAGGATTTAGGGCCATTGATGGTAGTCTCCTAATTGCCTTTTAGTGCTTTTAAGTTGGGTGACAGCCGATTCATTTTTTATGACACAGCCTATTCAAAACGTTCCCTCGTTTTTATTTTTAATGAAAGATAGACAGATGCCATTTCTACAGTTTCTTCATTGTCTCCTAGGGGAATCACAGGTGCAATTGTTTTTTGTTTGTTTGTTTGTTTGTTTTGTTTTTAATTTTTTGTTTTCCAATTTACTTGGCAGTCTGTAAGACTTGAAAATACTGAGATACACATGAGAAATAGTTTTTAGCCTCCAGCTCCTAGAGTCAAAGAGCTTACAGTTTAGCAGAGAAGTCAGCCCTCATATTCTTTTTTGTTTTTTTGTTTGGGGGGGTTGTTTTTGTGTCACCCCCCCCCACACACACACACACACTCCTCAGACAGGGATTCTCCACGAAGCCCTGGCTGTCCTGGAACTCGATTTGTAAAGGAGGCTAGCCTCAAACTCAGAGACTGTCTGCCTCTGCCTCCTGAGTGCTGGGACCAAAGGCATATGCTATCCCTCATACTCTTAGTTGTGGAAAATGCAGCTTAGGCACAGTATAGACTTCACTGACCGGCTACAGCAGCAAGTACAACAATGGGAGCAGCAGCTGATACTGTACAAAGTGCTCATTACAGATTCTAAAAATCTTTCCCCCTTAACTGAGAACAAGCCCAGGGATGACACTTATCCTCTGCTTTATGCTTGAAGAAGCTGAGGCAATCAATAAATACCTTGACTGTGGCTCCTGTATAGCCCGGTATAGCTCCTGTATAGGTTCTTCATTGTACTGAGGCCTAACTCAAGGAAAGCCTCTTAAAGATACTAAGCTAAACCCTGAAAAGATGCATTATGCAAAGCTGAAGTTGAGGAAAACCTAAAAAGAGTGTTAGGTAGGAAGGAACATGGCTCCTTGAGGAATAGGCTGGAAAGTGAAAGTTGTTAGAGTGGGCAAGGGAGGACAAGGGACCAAGATACAAGGATTCAGGATTTGTTCTGTCCTGGGAAGTTTTAAGTGGAAGTGTTGTGGCCTTGTTCTTCAGATTCCTGGAGCTTGCATGAAAGACTGTCCTGGTAGTTGAAGATGGGTGGGGGGTCATCATTCCTCCATCTCTTGAGGCTCAACCTGTGTTCACTACCCATTACCACGTGGTTGGGCTACCAGAGCTTGGTGCATCATTGTTGGGACTGTGTCTAGGAGTAATATGGCATGTACTTAATAGCCATTTCTGTCCAAGGTTCCAGCACTGTCTTCCTGTTGGCCCTGATAATCGTAGCCAGCACCCAGGCTTTGACACCTACCCACTACCTCACCAAGCATGATGTGGAGAGACTGAAAGCCTCTTTGGACCGCCCTTTCACGAATTTAGAATCTGCCTTCTACTCCATCGTGGGACTCAACAGCCTTGGGGCACAGGTGCCAGATGTCAAGGTAAAGCTGCCTTTCTTCTGTTCAGTGTTTAGGAGAACCTTAATCTCCTCCCATGTTCCTCTTGGATACTTTAAAACAAACTCTTGCTGATGTGAGTGTTGCATTTAATGTAACAAATATTTCTTCCAGTCTGTGGTTGTTTGTTTACTTAATGTGTGTGTCCACCAGTTGGGTGCTTCTAAGGGAAGGGAGGAAAGTGAGTCAGAGCCTCTTGAATCTACCAGAACTAGCTGTGAAACTGCTCACTGAAGCATGTACTTGATTTGTACACTTAACCAGGGAGCCATCTCCCCAGCCCCACAACATGTGCTTGTCAAGTGCTGGGTGCATGACTAACAACTATAAAGGAGTCAGGGTAGAGGACTCATGTACATTGATCAGCAACTTTCATTGTGTGGGGTAATTTGGATGTATTCTATTTGGGCGTGCAGAATACATTGCAACTGGAATGTTTTCTGGGTTTAGGAACTGTTGTTAGCTTTATTTTTTTACTCTTTGGAGCCTGCCAAATAAATGCATGGAGACTTATGAATGCCCAGCCCTAGCTTGGCTTATTTATAGCCAATTTTTATTAAATTATCCCATCTATCTTTTGCCTCTGGGCTTTTACCTTTCTCTATTCTGTATACCTTTCTTTGCTTTTTTACTCTGTGGCTGGTTGTATAGCTGGCCCCTGGCATCCCCCTCTCCTCTTTTTTCTGCTCCTCTCTCTTCTTCTCTTGAGCCTAGATTTCTCCTCCTGTTCTATCTGCCTGGCAGCTCCGCCTACCCTCTCCTGCCTAGTTATTGGCTGTTCAGCTCTTTATTAGACCAGTCAGGTATATTAAGCAAGCAAAGTAACACAGCTTCACAGAGTTAACAAAAGCAACAAAAAAGAATGCAACACATCTTTGCATCATTAAACAAATATTCCACAGCATAAACAAATGTAAACATCTTAAGCTAATATACCACAATGAGGAATAGCTAAGGAGAGGTATACTCATTACAAAATCATGAACAGTTAGACTAAGGCATATACTCTGAATATTTCTTGGTTTTTTTAACCATAAATTTAAGCCGGTTGGTGGAGGCGCATACCTTTGGGGTGGCAGAGGCAGGTGGATCTCTGTGAGTTCCAGTCCAGCCTGGTCTACAGAGCTAGTTCCAGGACAGGCTCCAAAGCTACAGAGAAGTCCTGTCTTGGAAAAAAAAAAAAAAAAAAAAAGAAAAAGAAAAGAAAGAAAAAGAGAGAAAGAAATTACCATAAATTTAGAGTTTGAAAACCACCTATTTGTGTGGCAAAATGGCTCAGTGAGTAAAGTTGCCTGCTGCCAAAGCTGATGACCTGAGTGTGTGCAGCTCTCAGAACTCACACGGTAGAGGGAGAAAAGCCACTCCTGCAGGTTGTTTATGACAGAGGTGAAGCTCAGTTTGTCAGGCTTGGTGACATGAACCTTTGTTACTGGGACATCTCATTGACCCTAGCACTACTTTTCAATATAGTTGCAGTGCGCATCCTTGATTTTTCAGGGTGTGGTTCTGCTTCTTCCTCGGGCTAGTTGGTGCATTGGTCCACAAGGGTGGAGGGAGCATAATCAGGGTTTAGATGGTTGGGGGTATGATGGTGACAACCCTCCAGGTAATGACTTTGGTGAATCAGCTCTGCTTTATTCTAGAGTATAGAGAATATATAGGGTTGGAAAGTCTGGACAAACTCTAATTTGCACTAAGTTATACACTCTTTATAAGGCTTTGTATGTGGCAGCAGGGTCCTATAGCAAAGTTCCTAGTGCAAGTCTTAGTTACCATATGTGCATCAGGGGAAATGCTTCTAGCAGAAAACTGCCAAGGGTTCAGGCACTGGTGGCGCACACCTTTGATTCCAGCACTCAGGAGGCAGAGACAGGCAGATCTCTGTGAGTTCAAGGCCAGCCTGGTCTACAGGGTGAGTTCCAGGACAGGCTATAAAGCTATAGTGAAAAACAAAACAAAAAACAAAAAAGCAAACAAACAAACAAAAAAAAAAAGATGCAAATCAGGCATCCAGGCTTAGAGACAGCTTTCAGATAAGGCCAGTCCTCTGGGCCCAGGGATATTATCCAGATAATGGCAGGTAGAAAGCAAGAAGCCTTGCTGGAGGGGAGACAGTTCCCCGTGTCATCTAGCTTTGGAGAAAGCTGCCAGGCTGTGATAGACTACAACCTCTGACCAGCAAGGCCTCCCA